CAAAAGACGAAAAGGCGGCCTTGCGCGCGTACTTTACTAAGAACCCTACCCAGGAGGAGAAAGCGTCTACTATTCTATCGACCTGTGAGGACGACGACGCGAGGGTTCAGTATCTGCGGAACCTGCTGGAACCGTCAGCAGGTAACGACTTTGTGACTCGGGCGTTGGGGACATAGAGTAGTGTGTACATAGGGTAGAGTAGACGTAGTAATGTGGTTTTTTATGGGAGAACGTTGTTTAAAGAGTGACGGTCTGAGGTTGTGATTATAGGAGCTGTGTTATGATACTCACCAGACTCAACTTATAGTTGTTCCATCTAAGCGGCGTAAGATTGAAACAGGTAAATTTTGATTTGCATCGTTGATTCGTGCATTGTTCTGTCTGTGTTGTGAAGTTTCTTTCTCAATGTTTAAATTCAAAGAAATTGAAGATGAAAACACCCAAGTAATCGAACGCTTTGTCACTGAAGCTCTTAAAACAGATTTGAATGAACAAGTAATTGTGCTTCCGCCACTTTTGAAGGACAGCTCTGAGATAAAAATCTACAGGCGTGATTGCTATGATCATATAAAAGAGTTTATTCTCAAATCATCCCCGTATAATCGCTTTTGTATTACTGGCAACCCTGGAACCGGGAAGACAGTTTTTGGGTTTTTCATGATGAGTGTTTTGCTACAGCTACATTATCGCTTGCTTGTGGATGGGGTTCACAATGCATATTTGGTTGGTTTCAACAGGGAGACAGGTGCTGTGGAACTAGAATGGATTTTAGACGATTCCCACTATGCTTACCGTGCAAAAAAAGACGACGTATGGTGCATCATTGATAGCAAAAAGCCTAGAATCGATCATGACTTCTCTCTAGGCCGATTTATCATGGTTTCATCACCAAGGGAGGAATATATCAAGAACTTTAACAAATACCCTCATACACTCAAGATGTATATGCCAATTTGGACTATAAATGAAATATTATTCTCAAATTGATGCCCTGAACGTGTTGGAAGTATCACGCAAACGTCAAATTGTTGATGTTATAGATGAACTTGACCCAAAACGATGGGCGTGGTCTAGCAAAAATGATGACATAGTCAAGGTGATTAATGCATATTTTCTGCGAGCAATATTATTAAGTCCACAATTTAACTATTTATTATTATCATTCGTTCTAAGGCTGTGGAATGCTCTGTACGATTGAACGAGCAAGTACAAGATAACGTGAGCTTTGCAAATTTGTCGGTCTTACATTTAATTGCAGCAAGTTGTTGACTGCTTATTATTGCATAAAAGGACTCCCTACTTAAGATCTTTGGGAACGAACTTAAACTGGAAAGTTCACAGACCATGAAGATGTTCTACGCAGAACACTTTAAGCACCATTCCAATGGGAATCTTGTTGATATGCGACCGAAATCTACAGTTTTCAAAAGCCTTCCAGGAGAAATCATTGAACAGTATTATGAGGAACTTGAGGATTGGGTAGATTGCATTCCAGAAAACGTGCATCACTTCTTGGTTGAGTTCTTCTCGCAAAACTTATCAAAAGATGAATGGTTGAAAAAAATCGATGATTTTGTCGAGGCAATAGTCACGGGAGAGTGGATAACTACTGTCTCGGTTTGGGATCTAGCTGCGCCATCGTAGGAGTGTGGCTCACCTCAGCGATAGCTAAACCTTAACAAACAGTTAGTGACCTTTAGGTTAGGCTTTTCTAGTGCTAACGTATTCCTATACGTGTCACACACACTAATCCTAGATAATTAATTACTCTCGAGAACAAAAACTACTCTCTACCGGTGGATTAATTCGGTAGTCTGTAGGTTGGGGTCTTAACAAGAAAATAATGCGCGCTGCGAAATAATAATTAATTATCTTAATGCCACTCGATCGATTGCGAGACAAGTATTACAACCGATCTTGCCGTTATACGGATTAATGCTTTACGAATATAACGGAAAATTCTAGGAAAAGAATTATCGTTTCAGAATAAATGGATATTCGTTTATTAACAAGAATAAAATATAAAAAGGGTATCGAACGTCTTCGATAGGAAATATCGTAGCGAACACTTAGATTGAACACTCTGAACACTAAATTGAACACTGAGAACACACCGATGCTAAGTCTAATCTACGCTGCTTTTATATCTTTTGGACGGACTAATTAATCTATTTTTAGCATCGGATTACTAATTGCTAATTTCTAATTATTTCCTTCGTTTATCACCATTATTTCTTTGACTATTACTTTCTGCTGCTAATGCGCTGCTAATGCGCTGCTAGTGCGACCGCTGTGAGTACTACACTCCGCTGCTAGTACTACATTCTGCTGCTAGTACTACCGTTATTCTTGGTGCCACTGTTACATTTCTGTCGCCGATCCCCGGTGGTACGAATAGTTTTACAGAAATTTAGGAAGGAATACGTCATCATATAGGCTTGCGTCATCACATTGTCTTTAAACAAAATTTGCAAAAACTCAATGAGCAATAATTACAATCTTATTTATTCCAACTATGGACCAACTCTTCAAGAGAAAGATGTCTAATATTATAATAATTATAACAACTTTGACTTATTGAATAACTTTTTAAATTTTTTTTAGAGTTAAACTGTCTTCTATTTTCCTTTATTTATTATTTAATTACTTTCAAATAATTCTTTGCTTTTTCTTTGAAGTTTAATTGATAAAAATGTTTTCTAGCACTATCCTTACTTCATGGTTTGTTATAATAAGGATAATAATAATAGCTATTACTATAAGCATTCGAAATCACATTGCTTCAGTGGGATACGCTTTGCAAAACCAAGCTTAATTTTCTTGGTCATAATTCATAATTTCACTGACTAACTCTACATCCAGATTATCAGTGTAATGATGTTCGCTTAGAATAGTAGCTATTTATCTAATTTCTTCATTATTCAACCAGTTTATATTGTAAAAGTGCTTTTAATTGTTCGGTTGCTCTTTATCTGCTAATTGCTTTCTCAATAATTTTATTTTATTAATATGCAAACTTTCTACACTGGAGGAATAACCGGTAATGAAGAGATTTTTTATTTTTTTTTGTTGTTTGTTTATGATTTTTTTCCTATTTACTTATATCCTTTTTACAAAGAGTATATTAAGTATATAATTATTTTAATATTTTTTTTTATTTAAGTTCAAAGCAGAAAAATTGTTGAAAGGTTAAACTTACTAGACTTAATCGCAATGGCAGTAAAAACAAATTAATGAGTGATGAAGTAATGGAGAGAAATTATTTCTTGCCAGTATAAATTTAAATTTATCTCTAATAAATGGGCGAATATTATAATAAAGATATTTTTGCCTTTTGTAATTCAAAGGAGAAAGCATTAAAATTAGGATGAAAAAAAATTTAATTTCTTTGGTAATTTTAAAGATCTTGCTTTTCTAGTTTTAACAAATTAAATTCAGTAAAAGCACATTAGCAACCAACTGGGCTTGACAACTCCAGGTCGAGCTGCTTCAAAAACTACCGTCACACTTGAATTTAGTGTGTCCAGGCACCATTAACCGCAAACTATTAAGTGTAGGTAAAATCAAATAGTAGCGTTATTTTTATTTGCCCACCCGCATTATTACAAGTAATCTTTAAACGATTTTCACCTTTATTCAATTTCTTTATTCCATCCAATACCAGGTCCAGAGTGACATTCGGACCTTTGCCAATGATTTCGTCTTCATCGAGAACGTAATTAATTTGTTTGCGGCCTGCTTCATTTGAATACCAAATAAATGTACTTTACGCAGACTGAGATAGTAAATCTTACGATCGGAATGCGGCACGTGAACGTTGTGTCCAATCGTAACTATAATGAGTAGTACGTTAACGCTATAATAATCAGCTTTGCCTCTCGTCATAAAATGCTCGTTTACTGATTTTCTTTGTTCTTCTGCCAATCTCGTATTTTTGTTGTAATGGTTTCTCTTAACTTAGCCTTTACCAGATGTTCTTTGTATTTTTTTCAACACAATCTCTAGCTTCTTCCTTACGAGCATTCACTGCAAGCCATTCCGAAAATGTTGACATGTGTCTCATAAATCTCATAATTTGATTGTAAGACGTTAATTAGTGCAATAACTTGCAGGACGCGTCATATTTTAACAATTTTAACGTGCTATTGTTTTTAAGACCTGTAATAAAATTACGATAGACCGATTTGTAATGTAAGCGATTGAATAATTCGGTTGACCAACACGTGGTATTATACCATTCGTTGTTAGATTATTTCTGACGTTTTCGAAGTGAGTACGACCAATTCCTAACATGTTTTCTGATCTCAATAATAGAAAGTTCTCGTATTGGTACGTGTTTTATTTTTAAGACGTGGATCTAGAAAGAGCACTCGGAATCATATTTGAACAGTTACAACCGATATCCAAGAAACGCATTGCTTTTTCATATTCAGTTGAACCATTGTATTCGCTATTTTAATTTGTCATACACGGATATCCTATATAATTTTACCATTCTCATTGTTGGCGATTAAGTCTAAAACAATATGTTTTATAACGTCTGCTAGAAAATTTGTTTTGCGTTCATTGATCACATGACTAAATTTTTTTTCATCGATCACTGCTATATACTTGACGCGTAGTTCGCGCGTTTCCCCATCTCAATCGTACGATTCTAACCGCTGGTTCGTAGTTAGGAAAGTAAATATGTATTAAATTTATGTGTTATGGGACTTACAACAATATCCTACGCCCGTTTGTGCACCACCGCTACCTGCGACCCCTTTCGGCCGATGCTTGGCGGCATGAATCTTGGATAGCTGCTTTGATGGCATGTTTCATGTCTTCTCATTGTCACCGTCTCCTTGCCGATTGCCGACCAGATATTGTGATTTTATAGCACCTACGCCCGTTTGTGCACCACCGCTACCTGCGACCCCTTTCGGCTGATGCTTGGCGGCATGAATCTTGGATAGCTGCTTTGATGGCATGTTTCATGTCTTCTCATTGTCACCGTCTCCTTGCCGATTGCCGACCAGTTGCTATAAAATCAAAGTCCCCTTCAAAGTTCTCTTACTTGTTATTTAGTATGCATTTCATTAAAGCCAATTGATCCTCAATTTTATTTTCTAGATATTCTAAATGGAGTCAATATATAAACAAATAGATAAGTATTTCAATGAGGTCAATTATACTAAATGGAATGTCGTTGAATGTTTGCACAAGATCAAGAATCCAACATTCACATCTGCCAGTATGGATGAAGTTGCAACTGTTATAAGAGATACAATTAAAAGTCGTCGCAAATCTAATGCATTATTTGTAAATGCCAAGCGGAAACTAGAAAGTCTGGAATTGAGTTTTGATGAAACCTGGAGACGTCCCGAAATTCGCCAGTTCTTTAATAAACTGGATCTTTCTTACACAAATGTGAGTAACTAAACTATTCATCCTTTTTGAAATTGGCTGTCTGAATGTAATAACTTATAGCTGTCTGCAACAGAAAATGTATGAAACGCGGGCAATGACAAATGTTGTCAAAGATAAGACCATACTAAGTGACGTTCATACACAAGATTCAGCAATGTAAGCTTGTTTCAATGTGTTCTTATTGTAACAGAGGTTAGACGTTTTAAGTTTTCTTATAATTTGGAACAGTCATATTACAGAAACATCAACGACCTGAAAATATTCATGAGGAAGGATTAATACAGAACGTCAGCGAAGATGAAGCTCAGACTCCTCCATCGATTGCCATTCATTCCAGTACTAGTAGTTCGACATTAATCGATAGCGATAATTATGTCTAAGAATCAATCAGACCATTGTTTGAATCTATCCAGGAGGACCTTATCTCATCTATTGCTGAGGGAAGCCTTGCCGGAGAGGACATGGCTTCAACTGACATAGTTCGGAAACAACCTTTGAGGGTAAGTTATCAGTTTATTGGCCTAAGTTTATTTGAATCTAAAGTTATCTCTTGTCATATAATGGTGGATGCCTTGTGCTATCAAGTAATTTGGATGTGTTCGCAAATTTCCGATGCATACGGTCAAAGATCCCCTTCAAAAACAGAATTTTTAATCCATATTATGGAGTCATTGATTTGACTGGCCAGTATATTGAGCTCAAGTCTGCATTTACTACTGAAGATTGGCAAGAGCTTCGAGAGATATTCAGTTCCGTGGTTCAATGGCAATCCATCCAAACTCCTGAGCATTTTGTGCAGTACTTTGATGAAAATTGCAAACTACCATCTGAACCAAGAGAAGATCTGAAAGCCTTCCATATTGCAATTGAGTTCCTGTAAGTATTTGTCTTGTTTATTGTGCTGGCCTGATATGCCCTGACACTTTATTTGCTTACTGTGTTCGCAGCAGACAAATGAGTTATCCTCTTGAAGCCATTATGTCTGAGTCTGTCACACATGCATTGTATTATCCTTTGATTGTTACAATCCTCCGTGACGATATCACATCGCAGCTGGAATGGTGAGTATGATGGCATGATGATCTTATGCTTAAACAATATCATAGATCTTGAAGGAAGGTTACATAAATGGGAAATACACAAATTAGGCAAAGAACTAAATAATTTTATTTCTATTCAATAGGGGGGAGATTACTTCGGACTCGAGTTCTGATGCGAAAAATAGTAACTCCAGCCCCAACAATAAGGCCAAACTTGGTCATAAGGTGGATTTCAAACTTAGCTTGAAAAAGCCAAATTACAAGCTGCAGATCGTCCATGGTGAGATTTCAGGCGGCATCAAGGACGGAAAGACAGCAACCTGCAAGCGTAAACACTGGCTTGATAAGCTCAAGCTTATGGTTATGTTGCGAGATGAGTTAAATCAGCTCATCAAAACATACAGCAAGTTAGGCTGTGCTGAATTCTTGCATTTAGTTGTATATGGAGTCCAGGTGGTCGGTATGTGTTACAATATTTCATCTGAATTCAAGTGCGATTACGTTTGCGATCTGATATTGTTTTTCAGGATTACAAATAAATGTCTATGCTATGTTCTGGTGTGGTGGGGGAGTCTATCTTTTCGGATTGGTCGATCAATGCTTTGTACCGAACAACAAAGAGACCCTCTACTCATTAGAGGAGGCATTTGCGGTTCTGAAGACGTTGCAAGTGAAAGTCACGGAGGCTTCAAGACTACTAATGGACATTGAAATGAAGCATGCAAGAAAAAGAAGGCGGTCTGTACGTGAAGAACGAATTGATCCTGAAGAACTTGTATGTACGCGAACTCCGAAAAAGCATTCGAAGACCAAGTAAAGTGTTGTCAAATTTATATCACAAT